ATATATACATACATACTTACATACATACATACATACATACATACATACATACATACATATATATATATATATATATATATAAGCACAGTGTGACACTGCACACAGCTTACGCAGGCGACGGCCTTAATTCCGGGACAGATTGTGTTGTTATGCGGTTCATGGTGAATGCTGCGGGTAATACCCCATCTTGAGGCCTCCTGATGCGAAAGAAGACGCAGCTTTGGGGCTTAGTTCCACTTTAGTGCGTATGTATCAGATTGCCCCCACACATTTGAATAAGTACACACAGATTTAGGACAAGGGAAGCAGGTACCACGAGATGATTCAGCACTTCTGTGGTGCCTGTACGCGTTTGTCACAGGTGGTATAAGCTTCGCCAGCCTGGTCACTCTACCTACGGAGATGCTTGGGACTAGATTGACAAGGACGATGCCGGAAGATAGGCTTAAAGTTTAACCACAATATTCTTGTTTTCTCTTGAGAGCACTCAAATGCGATGGACATCACAGTCAAAGGAAACGAGCACTAAATGTAATCGCCTTGAACTGGTTCAGGGGACGTAGGCCACTATAAGACAAACATGCTGAAGGCCGAGGCAGATGCACCTGGGACCTTGAAATAGTGCGGTAGCTGAGCGAAACCTAATGAACACATCATATGTGTGTATTAGACGGTAGAAACACAGATACGCATGTGTATATATTTAACTGATTGTTTGGACATATAAACAAGCATGTGAACGTTCGATCGATAGATCGATAGATCGATAGAAAGGCACTACCAAAATTATAAACATAAAGACGAGTGTATGTGCAACTAGGGACACCGGTCAAATATTGCATAGGCAAATCAACGGTGACATTTTGACAGTTCAAATATGCCACCTCGCACTACCAATGCGGAGGTTGCATCTGCGTATAGTTGGGACGTCATCAGCGAAATGGCGTGCCGGTTTCGGTACATACCTACGATTGAAACTGTTTTGGTAAGAGTAGAGCCGCATGAATTTGCGTGAGTTTGCGCAAAACTTGTGCACGTAGACGAGCGTGTGCAATACTCATCAGGAAGACATAACTATCTGATATACGTATATGTGCACACACAAACACGCACATACACACACACACACACATACCCCACACACGCATATATATATAAATATAATACATACATATATACATATACATATACATACATATATATATATATATATATATATATTCTTTACACAAACCTTAATCCGGGCGATGCATCTCCGTTTTGTTGCGCGGTCATCTGTGATATGGCGTTCTGGTTGCTGTATATACTTGAGTGGGCATTGTTGCTTAAACTGTTGTGACGTGAAGCGTTCTTATTCGAACTGTGAAAAGGGAATCCACTGCCCATGGATATGGACGACACTTGTGCCGGCGATGGCTCGACTCTATTCGTACCCAACGCCAGCAGGGATGTTCTGGAGAGAAGAAAAGTTCAAAGAGTATTTATATATCCTCGTGGTTCAATAGGTGATCTGCTTAACGCCAGCAGGGATGTTCTGGAGAGAAGAAAGGTTCAAAGAGTATTTATATATCCTCGTGGTTCAATAGGTGATCTGCTTAACGCCAGCAGGGATGTTCTGGAGAGAAGAAAGGTTCAAAGAGTATTTATATATCCTCGTGATTCAATAGGTGATCTGCATAACGCCAGCAGGGATGTTCTGGAGAGAAGAAAAGTTCAAAGAGTATTTATATATCCTCGTGGTTCCATAGGTGATCTGCATAACGCTAGCAGTGCTGTTTTGAAGCGGAGGTTAGGGGATATTCATATATCGTAGTAGTTTAAATATGTAATTTGAAGAAGGAATCGCTTTGGACATGAAGCGATGAAAAATAAAATAACAATAAAACTTGTACTGCTAATTGGTCGCCTCTATGTGTACCAAGTTTCATACGCCATTAGTGATTTTCTGGAGAGGGTTTGGGGTACAAATCCATCGAAGTGTGTGCATGGATAATTGATCCGGGGGTTGTGTGTATGTCAAAGTGTACTTTGAGTGAGAGACTACCGACGCTTGTGCGCGAAGATATATATTGTTTTTTTTTTTGTTTTTTTGGGGGGGGAGGGGGAAAAGGGCAGACATGACCATGGACGAGACTTGTACGGGTGGCTGCTCACCTATGGGTGTGCCTAACAGCAGCAGTGATTAGATAAAGTGGGGTTGTGCGAAGATTTCGATCGCGGTGTGCACGCGTGCAGGTCAACAAAGCCACGGAATAAGGACATACAAATACAATAATAGATATTACGTATTAAAATATGGTGCATACGATAATGATATACAAAATACAATAATAGATATTACGTATTAAAATATGGTACATACGATAATGATATACAAAATACAATAATAGATATTGCACATTATAAATATGATACATACGATAATGATTATACAAAATACAATAATAGATATTACATATTTAAAAATATGATACATACGATAATGATATTCTAAATACAATTTAATGAAATACTGATACAACATAAGATAAATAGCACTTACGATGATAAGTCCTCACACGATCTCGCCCTGAGTGAACCGCTGCTGGGTTCTACCAGGATGGGATGCAAGTCTTCGTTTTGCGACAAACTTAAATCCTGAGAACTATTGATTCGTACCATTTGCTGATTGATGGAATGGAGAAACACACGGATTCCAAGGTCAGAATGTGACTAGGATATGGGCCTGGCAAAGGACAGTGGGAGGAAATTTGAGAGAGGTGGTGTGTAATGTCTAAGATAGAGAAACCGATGACATACGTACAAGTTTCTTTCTACTCTACACGTTTAAACAATGTCAAAAGCCTGATTGGTAAACAACGCCTATGAAGTGTTTTGACTGACTTCGGATGTAAATACCACAGCAATATGCGTCTATGCACCAAGATATACTGTTATTGATATGGACATAATACTTGTAGATATCGGATGTCCAGTTCACACGTACGTAATACTGTACGTGTGAATTGGATACACTCAAGCACATACACCGAGTTGCCCCAAATTCAACACCTCAAGAGAAGGACTATACACATGTACATAAACGACTTAGAAAGGCAAATACGCGACTAAGGGCAAAACCATGGTGCCAGACACGCAGTAGAGTACGGAGGGAAACCGAAAGGTGAACCCAGATGCGTCAATATGCAATGTACTCCGTCTGTTAAATCTTACAGCACACACGCCTGCATCACGAAGGAAATACATATCCAGATACATATGGCACAGACAACAGTAAGTACCAGAGGCAGTATTCATAGGGCTAGGAACACACTATGGCTTCAATGCAACTAGTAGAGAATATATCTTGTCGGCCTGTGCTGGCTATATACTTACAAGGATACGCATGTAGCACACATATGTAGCCCTTACACATCAGAACTGAAAACCAACTCACAATAGATTGCCAGACACAAACCAGACACAAATCATACACAAACCAGACACAAACCAGGCACAAACCAGACACAAATCCTACACAAATCATACACAAACCAGACACAACCCAGACACAAATCATACACAAATCATACACAAACCAGACACAAATCAGGCACAAATCAGACAAGAACCAGACACAAATCATACACAAACCAGACACAACCCAGACACAACCGCCAGACCACAAGTGACTCCAGGTGACTCCATATTCACACATACACTATACATATATAAAAAAGCAATGGTAGATAACCACACACAAACCACACAGAAAACCACACACAGCCGCCACGCCACAGGTGACCTACCGTGACTCCAGGTGACTCCATATTCACACATACACTATACATATAAAAAAAGCAATGGTAGATAACCACACACAAATCACACAGGAAACCATACACAGCCGTCACGCCACAGGTGACCTACCGTGACGCCAGGTGACCCCATATTCGAAGTATTCTGTCGGCCTATGCCGCCCACCGTCCGCGTGCTCTCATCTAACCGCTGTGTGCGATTGCGTATCTTCTGATCCGCCAGCAGTCTGTAGGTGGCCACCAGATGCGAATTGGTCCCGGCAGTCAAGTCTTTCTCGAGTTGCTCCATGTTTAATCCTGTGCATGCGGGTATACATCAAGCCGTGGTCAGCGAGGAGCGTTACATAGTGTGCCAGTCTGTGCGTATGTACAGTGTCCATCGGGTTAGGTACGGGTATGGGGCATATGGATGTTTACTGGATATCCTGTACAACTCCAACCAGGCACACACTACACGCGCACACACACACATTGAGCCGTTGATAAGGGGCTGGTGAGATGCATTCAATACCGAACAGACAATCACCACGACAAGGGCATCCTTCCGTACTACTGCACAATCGCCTCGACCTCAGACAGCGAATGAATCACTTGTCCTCCTGTGTGCGTTGGTGCATACACAGGTTTACAAACAGGATGGGGAACCCCGCTCTAACCACCCCTCCATGCCAAGGAAGCTACTACCACTGAGTACACAGGCTACAAACAGGATGGGGAACCCAACTCTAACCACCCCTCCATGCCAAGGAAGCTACTACCACTGAGTACACAGGCTACAAACAGGATGGGGAACCCCGCTCTAACCACCCTCCATGCCAAGGAAGCTATTACCATTGCATAAATGTACGAAGAGAAAAGCTTCCAATCACCTAAGACACCGATCAGTGGGTGATGACGACATATACATCCTGTGCCATTTGTGACACGGGAGAATTTCTCCTCGTAAGATATTTCACATATAAGAAGACATCCAAAAACACCTATACACACATAGGCCTCCTTGACACTACAGAAATATATACGACACCACAATAACCACGTATACATACACCAAACAACTACGTACACATACACCACACAACCACGTACACATACACCACATAACCACGTAAACATACACTACACAACCACGTATACATACACTACACAACCACGTATACATGCACCACACAACAACGTATACATACACCACACAACCACGTATGCATACACCACACAA